AAATATGCCTGTAAATTTTTAGAATGGAATTCGCATTATTTATCGATTAAAAATTCATTTAAGTGATCCGCCTCAACTCGGCGCTAGAAGCGAACGCTAAACGCGTTTTTCTCGAAACGACTTTTTTCAAACTGTGGTGAAAGATAACTCAAAAAGGTTTCAACCGATTCTTATGAAATTTAGCACACATTTTCTTTATAGTATTAGCTTCTAGTTGACCTTCAAAAATGCCACAAAAAATTTCAAAAATTGCCATTTTTGACCCAAAAACCGTTAAAAAAAGGGTCAAAAATCAGACTTTTTTGTCTGAGTCGTGCCAATTTACAATTTTTTGACTTCTTAGTTTTTCCTTAGTTCAACTAGAAGATACATGTTTTATGAACACGCTCCTATCCTTTTTTTTTAAATTTTAGATTGCTGTAACTAAAGCTAAAAATCACCATGATTGATGCGTGAGAGCCTCAGGAGATTAGTTACTACGACGGCTATTAAAAAAAAAAAAAAAAACAGATTCTTATATTTTAATATGTAATGAATAAACATGCTGAGTTTCGAAACGATTCATTTATTCCTTCCATTTTAAATAAACCTCTGAAAAACGGTTAAAATTTAGGCGTTTACATGTATCGCCGGCCTCAATATTTTATTTTATTTATTATTTTTTTTTATTTATACTTTTATTTTAATAAATTAATTAATACCTAATTTTAAGGGGCTGTAAAGTATACTTATTTACAAAGAATTTATACTGTATTTTATTTATTTTAATGTATTTTAAATGTAATAACAATTATAGACCAAGAGCTAGCAACCGATAGCACATAAATACTGCGTGAGCAATTCAGGTACCTACAATATACGACAGTGCGTTACGCAGCGCGGCGCTCTGACTCAGGTAAAACGCACGCTCGGTATACTTTAAACTCAGGTAAACGTCTAAACGAAATTTGTACGTCTCTACTTTTCTCATACAAAGTTTTCTAATTCAAATTTTTATTTTAATATATTCATATTTTCTTATACTTCAAAAGTATAAGAAAATAATTATTATGATTAATAATTTTTGCAAAATTCTGTTAAAATTTAAATTAAAAGTTAAATACATGCATGAATTCTTCAATTGACTTCTGACATTTTAATAATACGTTCTTTGTACCTCTGTAAACATTCAGGTAAATCGTCGGAAGTGGCATGAGTCATGTACGGGGTGAAAATTGGAGACGTCCCTTAGCCGGCGCATCGCACCGCGTTTCGCGCTCTCATAATTTGCACCTCAATTTCTCACGAATGCCTCCACGTTTTCATCTAACATTTTGTACATAGTTTTCTCTATGTATAAGTAAAATATGCGCAAGTTGTCAGATATTTTGCTGTATATGTAAATTTTAAAATATTTTTTGCAACTTTTCAAGTTTCTGTCATCCCTTTGTCGTCAACTTACACGTCTGACATTTTTCCCCGTGCTTTCTCTCATGTTTCTGGATATCTACGTAAATTTTCAGCCATATCTCTAGTCATTTATTTTATTACCAAAATTAACAATTTTGGGGGTCTGGCCCCCCCTTTAATCTTCCTGACCGCCCTCTGATGATCGGGCTACACTTTTGCCGACACCGTTCCAATCTTTTCAGGTATAAAATTCTGTCCGTAAGTTATTTTCAAAAATCGGATGCTAGCTCTTAGTCTATTAGGCCCAAAATACAAGATTTTATTATTTAAAAAAGATTTTGGTAATGGTAAAGTTTCGAAATTTATTAAACTAATATAAAAATTGTTTTACCACGACTATAAGTTTCTTTCATTATATGTAATTAAATTATTAAATAAATGAATTTTAGGAATATATATAATATAATAATAATGATTTATTTATTATGTTAATTGGTATGATATACAATATATTATAGGTATAGCCACTCTCATCTTCGTGGTAAATATTAAAGCTACCGTATTTGGATAATGTAGCGCTAGCGCTTGTACCAAATTTAATGAACCGAAGTAGATGTTGATATATGTGTTGATGCTGAGGTTGAAATCAACCAAGCAGTTTTCCTCTTCTTTTAGGCAATCTTTGAGATGACGATCGGCAGATCCACAACAATAAGAGAATTTAATTTCTCTGCAATTTTAACATTTTCTTGTCGCGTGTGTCGATCTCGATTTTTCCACAGACAATCTCGGATGGACGACGGTTTTCGTTTTCTTTACGTTCTTAGCGTAATATTTCGATGAATTTCTTGATCGCAGATTGATTTTCTCGAACGCCTCAACTAACTCGCTCGTTGCTTTAAACAGTGCCATGCCTACTTGATCCTGAAGACACAGGTCCGGTATTCCATCGATGACGTAGTCGATTATCTCTTCCGCGGCTATCGCGACACGATTAGCGCGCACGACCTTTTCGTGAAAATAATTGCTGAAAGACTCGTTCGGACGCCATATACGTGCCTCAAACTCCTTCTTCAAAGCCAATTTACATTGACGATTGTCGTACATCATTTTCCTACGTTGGTGGAGATTTTCAATGTTTATACCGACATGTTCTGATTACGAATAAGACCAATACAGAGCTGGTCCTTTTTATTTGGAAATGATAACGATCTTCGTGCTATTGTCATCCAACTTATCGGTGTTAAGCACTAAATTTAACTGTTGTTCTCATTTTCAGAATGAATGATTGGATCCATTAAATTTGCACAGCAATTCGTTAATACCACATAGGTTAAAATTAATTGGTGCATTACCTACTCCTTCTTAACCTTTAATCCTAGGAGTAGATCAGATAAGATCAATAACAGATCTCTTTCTCTTCTTACTAGTTCAAGTTCTCGGGAATCATGACTGCATTCAATGTATGGAGCTTCAGTAGCAACCGTTGGTTTGTCACGTCCAGTCGCACGATCTTCTTGATCAGGATTATTTAATTCTTTTTCCAGATACTGCCATATTTCTGGCTTTTCGTCAGTTAATCTACTAATTAATTCATTTTTGTTTCCAATGGCAAGAAAATATCTCACACGTAATTTCTCCTTCAATTAACAAACGATGAAGATATTGGTTATTAATTATAATATTTTCTTTTAATCTATTACAAATTTTTCAATACGATAGAAACATTTTTAAATAGACAAAACTTGACACATTCTGCCAAAAATATAAACCATACTTGCTATTATATTTCCAATAAAAATAATATAACATATTATAGAAATATAGAAAATTATTAAAATAAAACAATGAAAGTTTGAAATAAATAAAAAAATCAAAAGAAAATCAACCCGATGAGACTCGATCCAACGATGTATCAATTACGAGTTTGCGTCTATACACGTTTTTTTATTTGATGCTTATTTTTTCTTTTACATAAATTAAGATATAAATTCATTTTGATTGACAGAGTTTTGTAGAATTAGGGAATAAATTGGAGATTAAATCTTATTGTTTTAAATAATACGGAGAAATATTGATTGACGAATAAGTTTAATTGTGAACTATTTAGCATAACGATCGATACCTGAACGTATGTTGCAAAAGCGAATTAGGACAATATTGTTACGTTAGGTTTAGAACTTCTGAAGTTTTTTAGAAATCTGGCAAGACTTGCAAGTATACAAAGAATGTTCAACAAAAGTTCCACTACGATTATTAATCCTATATTATCTTTTTTGCAAAAAAATCGACATTACCATATAATTTGTCTTTTGTTTTACAATTATATCTTCACGCTAAACAGACTCGATCAAGTGATCTTTACATCAACTTTCATTACTCTTCTCGTCTATTAAAAATACGATTTATCAAAAGATGCATATTTATATATGAACCGTTTATTTAGAAAGTGGTGTAAGTCTATTTTTGAAAAAAATGAGATATCATGTAATTCATGCTTAATTTAATGTAAATTTTTTATGTATAACTAGTTCATGTTTAATTTCTTTAAAAATTTCCATGCTTTATACAATTTAAAATTGGTCGGTAAATAAAATTGCATAATAACAAATATATTAACCTTTAATTTTCTCGAAACAAGAGAAAATAGGCTTACACCAATTTTAAAATAAACGGTCTATATATATATATGAATAAAATTTATATACGGAATAAAGTAAATAAAATTTATTTGACTTAAAACATTTTCCTCATTTAAGATTATACATGCAAAATTCTTAAGGGGTTACATGGGTTTCATCCGGGTAAAAACGGCGTATTTTCAAGATTTTTTTTTCATATAATATATGAAATATTTGATTCAAATTTTTTATTATCTTAAAGATACATATTTAATAAACATTTTCTGAAATTTAAAAAAAAAAATATTAAAAACTCCGCCATTGTGACGTCATTCCCGGCGAGCCCTCGGAAAAAAGGTGCATTCGCGTTGACAGCAGAACTCCAAGCAGGATCATCTGAAGTGAAAAAAAAAAAAATACTTGTTTTAGTTAAGGCTTCAAACTAGAAATTGGACGAAGGAAAAAAAAATGAAAATTGGATGTTTGACAGAGGTTTTTACAAAAAAATGCAGAATTCAGTAAAAATTCCGCGGCAAAAAAAAAAAAAAATAGTTGTAATTGAAAAAAAAAATCCTTCGTCCAAGTCCTTGTAAATTGTATCTCGAAGACCTGTTTAAAATTTCATCGAGATCGGTGGAGTAGCCTTCGAGAAATCTTGACAACCGACTTTGAAAACATAGTTTTGAGAAAAACACGTTTAAAGTTTTGAGTGACCATAGAACAGGGAAAAAAATTTTTTTCTTGACTTACATTGAATCGTCGATTCCTGGGCCATAAGGTAATGAATCTGCTGCATCTGCAATGTCCTCGGCATCCTTTTGTTCCTGTCTATGACGAATCCTGGCTTCACGAGTCTCTTTCGCAGACTTTTTCTCGGCGGCGCAGATACGGTTTTCGTCAGCATTTCGGGCATATTCGTGGGAATTTGGGCTAAGTTTTAAGTCCATACAGTGCATGATTAATACTAATGATGATGTTCCTTCATTAAAAATGCAAGCAGCAGTCAATGCAGCAATATCAATCTTAGAACCAGCTGGAAGTATTTTTGGAGTAATGAACCTCGTGGTTCAACAAGTAATCACCAAATGAAGTATTTCAACTAGTTACCCTTAGAAGATGAGAAAAATAACCAAGGACGAATGAACAATAGGCGAGCAGCTGCTCTTTTATACCTACGGCAAGCGGAGCCCAGCAGGTAGCCTTGAGCGCGCAACTTTAAAAGGCTGTATCTCTGAAATTATTACTCGGATCAAGTTGAAATTTTCGGATAATATTCTAGAGATGTTGTAGATTTTAATAAGCAAAAAAAAAAATCGATTTTTTGAATCCGTGAAACCCATGTATGTAACCCTTTAAGGGGCACTACTAGTGTGAAATTATGAACAGATCTGTTATGGCCTAAATTCCTCAGCTAAGAGTCCTCTGGAAATTTTGTATATGCTATGAAGTGGAGAATAAAGGATTAGGTTAAGGTATAAAATAAAACACGTGATTGAGCCAATAAAAGATGCGAAGCTTCATTGACTCGTCAGGGGAAAGCCTTGTGGCATAAAAACCCTGGATGATATTTGATTATACAATAAGAGTGCACCACGTGGTGTTACCACGCGGGAAAATACCGACGATGTGAAATATATATAATGGAAAGATCTCACCTCTCGCACTCCTCAAGTATAGCCATCACAACCTTAAGGGTTGTGACGTTGAATGGGTTCACTCTCACAAGTCTTAAAGATTAGGATATTCTCTTCGTGTCTCTTGTGAATTCTTAAGTCCTTTGTCCAATATGGCTTCTATAATCCTTAGATGTTGAAGATGTGTAGTCGTAGGCGTCCGGTTGTGGAATAGAAATAATGCCCCTTTGTACTGGCCCAGCAGGAGGTATGTACTAGGGCTATGAGAAGTGGGGATGCGAGAGGTGGAGGTAATTGGAAGGACGTTTCGATAGTCGCTAGTATCGATGCTCGCAATGAATATCGATCTATAGTTTAGATCGATAGAATCGGACGCACGCGATTTAACTATAGCTAATTACCGTACGATCATCTCGGATCGTACAAAATCGATTTTTTTTTTGCATATTTCGGTAGTTTATATCTTTAAAAATAACATATTAAAACTTCAAGTACATATCTCAAAAAGTTGATAACTTTTCAGTAGATAAGATTAAAAGATTATATCAAGTTTTTAAAGTAAAAAGATTATGTAAAGTTTTTATTATCTGAGACTCGTAATAATGAGAAAATAAATGTAAGAAGATAATTTAATCATAATTGAAGAAAGACATTTTGAAGTATTTTTCTACAATTTTATCTAATAGAGAAAAATAAATATAACATCATATTTAATAATTTTTAAAAAAGTATAAATAAAGTGTTTATTTTTTTCAAAATTTTATACATAAAAATTGTAATGAAATTATATATTTGAAATAAAAAGTTATATATATAAGATCTTTGACGTACAAAAATAAAACTAACTTCAAAAATTTTATCATTCATGCCAATACTTTAATTTTGTAAAAAAATCAATAAATTAATAAAATAAAGGTATTAAATACATTTAATAAAGGTTTAATTATTAAGTTTAATCTAAATTAAATATTACTAATAATATTAAATGAAGAATATTAGTTTTATAAATTAACAATTTAATAACGTTTTCGATGTTCTAAATATGAAAGTAAATTTAAAATAAAATACAAAAAGGAAAAAAATACTATTAAAAATAAAAAAATAAATATAAATTACATTTAAATGACCTCACATCATTAGCTTATCGCATCATTAAGAGGTATGAATAATGACTATAACCATACAAGTATTTTTCCTTATCCACTAATATCTTATTAATGGTTATTTTGAAATTTATAGCGATAGTAGAAGGAATGGAATTTAGGAAGGGATGAATTTTAGGAAGGGATGGGTTATTAGAAGGGACTAATTTTTTTCCGATAATTTTTTTTTTTCAGATAAAATATCTGATTTAATTATTGTTTAGCAAATGGAACGAAAGAATGGAGCACGCATAAATTGCCAGTTTATGCAATGCTAGCAAATGCGGAACTTTTGAATTCAACTTAATGTGGTAAGGAACTTACTGAATTTCGACAAGCYGTTGATCAGCACTTATTATGAAGCTTAAAAGGTACGTGAAAGTTATGAAAAATAATTTCTATTACTAGAGATTTTAAAAATATTATTGCGGAAAATAATTCTTCATTTCATTACAAACGGTATAATTGAAATGAATTTTTTATTCAAGATACGATCTATATATGAGTATGTTCGGTTATTTACATTAAGGAAGGAATAATAATATAAAACCGAAAATTTATTTTTTTTATAAATATTTTTTTAAAAGAAAAGGATCGTCTACAAATTATAACAACTATGAGTAGTTTGTATTTAACTTTTCAGTTATTCAAAAATACATTTATTTCTTTTTATTTTAAAATTATAAATAGATAGAACTTTTTCAGTCTTCTGGAAAGTTTAAATTTTAAGTAGCAAAAATTGTATGGATTCTAGCATCGATTTTAATGGCTAAGAAAAATAAATGCACAGTTTTTTATAGTTTACATTTATATAATGTCAGTGAATTACTACAATTAAATTCTTTTAAGAATTTGTAAAGGACAACTTTTAAAAGAAAATTTTTTTATTTTGGATAAAATTTCTAATTTTATCTAGATTTTTAAAAAAATACGAAATAAAGAATTAATAAAGTTATAATAATTGAAGACAACTCTATATATTAATAAAAATTATTTCAAAATTCACTTTATTTGTGACCACTTTACTAGTGTTATCTTCCCAAGCAGCACATAAAAATTAAATTCGATAAACAAAAGGATGAATTTTGTATTCTATTTTTTTTTTTCAAGTAATCGACGCGAGCGGTGAACCCACATCAGGATTCGTTTATGGAAATAATTATTGGTTAGGTAGCAAAGATCAGTGCCAAGATGCGGGAAATAGAAATCCCTTCATGTTATCGGAAGACGTATTACAAAACAATTCGAAATATTGTCATATCGAGGATGAATTTCCCCCTTTTGAAGTGAAATTCTTTGTCGCTAATTTTCGACATAATAGCACCTTACAATATCACATTGTAGTACCCGAGGAAGTAAGTTCCTATCAAAAATTAAATAAGTAATTTTAGAAATTCATTCAAATCTTTTAATTTTCTTTTATAGGATTTAATCATATTAGGTATGTGCTTACCAGCATCCTGTTCGAAGGACCAACTTTCTATTCTTCTAGAAGTATTGTTGAGAAATAGAAATCTTTTTAAAGGCGAACTATATTCAGCCGACTTTACGTTAGTTAGAGTGAGAGATTTAATCGATGACCATCGATGGTTGTTGAGTGGAACATTCATTACAATGACGCACATAAAAAATTCTTGCTAGTCCATCATAAAATATACAATAAAATTATATTTTGTTATTGTTCTTTTTTTTTAGAATAATAGTTGTACTTTCATTTCTATTAATGATAATAGGAACGAGAAACGATGTTCTGATATACCAAAAACGATTAAAGAAACATTATAAGTATATTCAAAACCATAAAAATTCTGAAGCAATAGGTAAGTTTATTTATAAATTTTTAATTCTTTTGTTATAAAATATTTTTACATAAGTATTATTTTATAAAAAATCCTTTATACGTACCCTACCGCAAGATGAGGTTCAACTCTGATATTTTCTAGTAATTCATACGAAAGCTTTGCATGAAGGATATATGTGTATTGGTAACTAGTAACAAAAGAGTTATAATAGTTTATTCTTTTAGATAAACAGATAATTATTTAATATCATAATATTAATTTTTTTAGAAGACCTAAAAGCGCTAGACGATAGTAACAAGAATCAACTAGAAAAATTAAAATACTACAGATTTTTTTGTAAAATATTTCTTGCTTTTTCCGTATATTCAAACACGAAAAAAATATTTAGAATGGAGTCAGACAATACTAATGTACCGTTTATACACGGATTAAGAACTTTTACAATGATATGGATTATAATCATACATATCTTTTATTATTCGAGGGATTATTATGGTAAATTTCTAATGATTATGATTTAATTTAATTTATACTAATATAAGAGATTTCATTTAAATTTATTACGATTACCTTCATTATTTTTTTTTTAATCTTTTATGTTTATTTAAAGACCATAAACCGAGTTTTACAAGAAGTTCGGAGGGTTTGATCGGACAACTGATATTCAATGGGACCCTTGCAGTTGATACATATTTATGTTTTGGTGGTTTTCTCGTCGCTTACTTGTATTTAAAGAAAGAAATGGGCAAGAGTATACGTAAACCGCGCGCGCGTATAATTATTTAAAAATAATTAAATTATATTTTTTCACTCTCTTAAAAAGGTTTATAAAGTAAGAAAATTTTTGTTAATGCTAAATTTTTAAAAAATATCAGGAATAATTTATGCATAAATTTATAAAATTTATTTGTTACCGGTAATTGCAAATATGACAATGCTTGATCATAGTATTTAAGGGGGTATTCTGGTCTAGAGGCATAAATTTTAGGTACTTTTTCAAGTGCAATAACAAAAAGACGAATAATATTTTCACTATCTATAATGTTACAAGATATTTATTAATATTTCAAGAATACATGAAAAAAAAAATAGTAAAAAAATTCAAAATTGAAAAAGATATAGGCTGATGAAGTGGGGGGTTCCAAAAAAATGGTGCGCGACGATTGTCACGATTGCAACTCTTCTAGTAATCCGAAATAAAAAAATAAAAAAGATTATTAATTTAGAATAATGACGCTATCGTTCGAACTAAAAGAATTAAAATAAGTTTTTTTTACACTAAATTACAGCTGTTTGAAAAAAATATACATTATTTTTACCACTTTTTTTACTTTTCCGAATTTTTTAAAAATAGTAAAAATTGAAAATTTTGTAAGATTTTAGTTAGCACGATAGAGTAATGCATAGAGAAGACTTCCACCAAATTTCAAGCAAATCGGTTTAGTAGAACTTGAGATATGATAACCGTGAAAAGAAAAACAGTTTTTAGAAAAATGCGTTCAAATTTTCGCGTAATAAGGGAAGGATATAGGATGCCGCTTCACTAAAACAGCTATATCTCCGAAAATAAATTGAATTTTGAAAAATCCTCTTAAGGACATATTCTTAAAAGGTTACGCTTTGAAAATATGAAAAAAAATCGATTTTTTTCAATTTCTAAACTAGAATACCCCCTTAATATCAACGTTTTACAGGCAATTTAAAAAAGCAGCTCGTATTTCACAAATTGTCCGGTTATCCTATAAAACGCAACCCGCAAAGACTTTTAAAAATTTTTAGAAAAAAAAATACTATCCAAATTGTTTCAAAGTAAACCTAATTTTCGAAACAATCAAAAATTATGAATTAATTGAATTTCAAGATGGACAATAAATAAAAAACAAAACTTTCTCATTTTATACGACAAGTTGTCCCAATCAACTTAATCATAAGCTTTAAGATGAAAATTATTTGTTTACAACACTATTTAAAAATATTATTTTATTATATTATAAATTACTATATATTGATATTTTATTATAATTATTATATATATAGCAAACCGACAACGAATTGCGATAATTCAGTGACAAAAATCATTTGAATGTTCTTAAATAAATTTAAGGCAGTTTAAGTTTGTCCAGTAAGTTATGATCAATTATTGACTCTTACATCATTATGATAAAGCATATTTCGAAACAATTTGGTGCGTATATACATCTGATCGAAGTTTATTTAAAAACTGCCGAACTACACTAAAATATCTCTTTATTTAACTGCTTTTTACTACTGCTTTTCAATAGAATGATACTCTTGCCGAAGCACGCTGTAATGAAAGTTAATTAATCAAATAAATTAACGTTTTATTGAATTGTTATGGCCTAGATTTCTCGATTAGGAGTCCTCTGGCAATTTCGTATATGCTATAATGTGGAGAATAAAGGGTTAGGTTCAGGTGTAAAATAAAACACGTGATTGAGCCAAACCAAGATGCAATGCTTTATTGGCTCGTCAGGGAAAAGCTTTGCGGCATAAAAACCCTGGATGATATTAGATTATAATAAAAAATGAAAATCCACCACGTGGCGTTACCACGCGGGAAATTACCGTCAACGTGAAATGAATATAATGAAAAGATCTTACCTCTCCTAACGACTTAAACTCCCTCGACTTAACTACCTCAACTTAAAACCTTCGACTTAGCTCCTTGTTCTCTCGTTTCGACTTAGATGTATATTCACAGGTGTCTAGCCAAAGAATAGAAAGAATGTCCTTTTGTACTGGCCCAGTGGGGCGTATGCACTAGTGGTGTGAGAAGTGGGTATGCGAGAGATGGGAGTAACTATAGGAGCGCTTCGATAGTCGCTTGTAGTTGTTCGATACTCGCAATTAGTATCGATCCAGAATCCTAATCGATAGAATCGGACGCGCGCGATTTTCGAATACCGCTAGTTACCGTACGATCATTTCGGATCGTACATAAATTATAGATTTCACAAAATAATTAGTCATAAGAGTACTGTGCTATTCACCATTGGTTAGAATAGGACCATATTTCGTTGGTGTGATCACAGCATATATTGTTGTTAAATTAAACAATAAATTACATTGGAATAAGGTAAACAGATTATACTAACCATTTATTTCTTCAACAATTTTTTATCATTAAATATGCTTATCGATGATATTAATGTTTACCCTAATGCTAATAATTGATTTCAGAGAACAATATTACTGTTTTGGATACTCAGCAGTTTATGTAATTTATTAGCACTGTTTGGATTATATTGGAATAGAATATCAGGTTTAACTGCTGCTGTTTATGCTGTTTTCAATCGAACAGTATGGGCAATTGGTATAGCATGGATAATTATAGCATGCTCTACAAACAATGGAGGTATAAATAAATATCTGATTCGATTTTTTAATTAGATAATATTACTTTCTAATCGTTATTGATTAAAAAATTTTATATTTTAGGTACAATGAATCGTATTCTTTCGTGGAAATCTTGGATACCACTTAGTAGATTGACTTATGCAGCTTATCTTTTAAATCCAATTCTTATAATTTATTTTAACCTTTTACGTAAAACTTCTTTGTATTATGATGCTCTAGCAATCGTATGTATTATTCTATATTGTTTGATCATATCGATAGAGTAATAGGAACTTCTAGAAAATATCAATATATTGTTTTTTTTTCTTTTTTAGACAATTTCTGGCTTAGGATACGTAATTGTAACTTACATATGTTCTTACGTTGTTTCGTTGATGTTTGAAATGCCGTGCACTTTCTTGTTGGGGGAGTTAATGAACAAGAGAGCATGATTCTTTGAACTACAATCATTATTATGATACATAATTTACTTTAATCCGTTCTTTATGTTTTAGCTTGTAAGTCTGTTGTATTAGTTGATAAGTCTGTGTTAGCTACCAAGTGTACGTTCAGTTTTCAATACTAAGTTTTAATTTAGTGTAATTAATATTTTTATTTAACTAATATACGATAATTTTTGCTTTTTAGTATTGAAAATAAGTCTTGTTTGTCGTTTGCTTAGTCAACCGAAATTTGGATTGCCGAATATTTATCATAAAAACTGAGCATAGCGATAACCTGTCTATAATGTGAATTACTGAAAATAGTTTCGATTTGTTTTGTATGTACTACTAACTAAATGTTACTCATTGTTTAGCTATTCTACTGCAAAAAAAATTGACGCCACAATATACTAGAAATTTTGAATATCTTATGAAACTATAGGTACTTACAAATTTTGAAATAGACAAATGAAAACCATGTTTCTATAAATTTAGTTTTTTTCTTTGTTTTATCTTAAACCAAATTGCGTATATAGATCTTTAAAGATTTATATCTCATTCGTTATGAATATTTTAAAATACATACTATAGTTATGAAAATAAATAATACTACATATTCCTAGCGAGTTTAAATGTAATTAATTGGTTTCAAAGTTTTCTAGTTGTAAAATGTTTATCACTGAAAATTTCATAGCATCTTCTCCCCCCATTATTATCTAAAAAGAATTAGAATGTGTACCTGAGGTATGAGTGAGGTTACAGCAAAACATTCCATTATTCTATAGTAAATAAACAAGAAGCGAAGACCGAGGATAATCAATGCAATAAATAATAAATGTCGTCTCTCTTAGTCGTATATAAATTCTATTTTGCATCTTTTTTTACATTGTCTTGACAAAAATATTAAAAAGTTCCAAATATAGTCAAAATTTTTACAGCAGCATATAATACAACGCCGCTAGAGTTAATTTGATCGTGCGAAAAATTGGTCGGTTTAGCGCGTTCGAGCTTGAGCGTGCAACTTAAGGGGTTAAAGGAAATAAGTGGTAAAGTTAGGTAATCAAATGTCGGAAGCTTTTAGTATTCAAAGCGGGTTAAAACAGAAGAACGCATTGTCACCTATTTTGTTCTTCTTAGTACTAGAATTTGCTATTAAAGAACTGCAGATAAGTAAAGATGGTCTACAATTGAACGGTACAACGCAATTATTGAAATAAGCAGATGATATTGCTTTGTTAGGAGACAATAAAGAGTCAAAATTAATAACGCAAAAATATTAATAGATAATACTAAAGATCTGGGACTGCTAATAATCATTAAAAAACCAAATATATGGTCACCGATAGAGCTCAGAATATGCCTAATACTGAAATTTTGGAATTTTGAACGGGTCAGCAACTTTAGGTATTTATTATAGGTCATTAGTTAGACGAACGAAATTAACGAAGAACTTAAGAAAAGAATCAAATTAGGCAATTCATGTTTTTTTTTCGATTAACAAATTACTCAACTCGCGGTTGCTGTCTAGGCGCTTAAAAGTCAGGATATACATTCCTACCGGTAGTCCTCTATGGTAGCGAAACGCGGTCGCTTACGTTATGGGACGAAAAGAAATTTCGGGTTTTCGAATAAAAAGTTCTTCGTAAAATCTTCGGTGCAAAACGCGATGAGAAAACAGGTGAATAGATAAAACTTCATAACGTAGAAGTATATCGATTCTACAACAAACCGAACATTATTAACGTCGTAAAATCTCGATGATTAAGATATGGTCACGTGGCGCGCATGGGGGAGGATAGAACGGCGCACAAAATATTGGTTGGTATACCAAACGGGAAAAGACCACTAGGTAGATCGAGACGTAGATGGGAGGATAATATAAGAAGAGACCTTAAAGAAATATGATACGAAGACCGCGAATGGGAGGACTGCGCCCAGGGACAGGAACAATAGTGGGATTTTGTATTTGCGGCAGTGAACTTTCGAGCTCCTGATGCCAACTAATAATAATATATATTTCATAATAATTAATTATAGTATTTGCGAAATAATGAATTTAATACTAATTTTCCAATAAAATATTTAGAAATATTTTTAAATAGAATCAAAATGACACGTTTGGTAAATAAAATACAACATATTTGCTATTATATTTTCAAAAAAAATAATACAACTTACTGTAAAAAAAATAGAAAAAATAAAAAATATAATAAGAAGTAAATCTGATGAGACTGATCCAGCGATATTTAAATTACGAGTTTAGGTCGATACGCGCTACGCTACAACTGTCGTTGATGCAAAATTTAAAAAAGATATACAGGGTGGGCAATATCTCTGTCCAGTTAGAATATTGTCATTGTTTATAACAATATAAAAAATTTTATATACGCAACTTACACGGCATGATGAACTTACACGGCGGGGCATGTTTTGGCTTGAACGTTTTTTGCGTGGGTGGAAGTATGGAGAAGATTTAAGGTCATCTGCATTTTTTAAAATGAATATTATATTTCTTTTAATGGGATGTGATGGCAAATGTAAAGTCGAATTCAACGAGCTATTATTCAAGGTCATGCGAGGTCAAATTTGGTAGAAAATAAAGTTTCTTACATTAAAGAAGATGTTCGAAGGGGTGACCGTTAACGCCAATGCAAAGTTGTAATCTTCGTATTGCTGCATAGCGTTCATGTCTTATCATTTCTAAATTTATGCTATTACATGTTGCAACTATCGACTGGTGACTTTATTAGAAAATGTACTATTAAATGTTCGCCAAATGATGTGGTTACAGCACGACGGATATCCAGCATATTATGCGCGGATCGTAAGAGATGCACTGAATTAACTTTACCCAAATAAATTGATAGGAGGTGGAGGAGTAGTTTCTTGGCAAGCTCGCTCTATCGATTTAACCCTCCTAGATTTTTTTCTATGGGGAGCATTGAAAAATGCGGCTTACCAAGAAGAACCCACTACACCAGAAAACATGAAAGAAAGAATAGTTGCAACAAGTAATAGCATAAGTTTAAGAATGAAGCACGCTGTGGCGAGCGGTAACAATTTTCTCAAAAACGACTGTACCTAGAAAGCAAATTACTATTCACTGTATGTACAATCTATAACCCTAACGAACTCATATAAATCTATAAAGTTTCATAAATGTTTTAAAAATGCAATCTCTTGGTTTTCTTTGTTAATAAGGGAGAGCTAGGAGAAGAGAAGAGCTTTCACGGTAAAATATTAAACGAACATTTAAAATTAAATAAAGTTTTAATAATTAATAATAGTTAGTAATAATGTGTTTCTTTCACAACGATTTTTGAAGAGATAATTTCGTTAGAATCGTTGCGATTAAAAATTCGATAAAACGAAAACAATACAACCAAAATTGTTCCGTTCTTTGTCAAAGCATATAAGGAAATTAGTTACAACAACAACAACAACAAAATACCTGCTTGTGTTGATCCACGATAAAGATATCTCAAATTCACAGAAAGACTATCATTTACCTAAGTTTCAAAAAAGGATATATTAAATTTACTTAGTTTCTGAGATTTAATGGTCAACTTTGTTTTCTTTTAGATATAATGTTATATTTTAATACTTATTTTCATATTAAGACTGTCGAAACGAATCCAATGATGTAGCCAGCTTTTTCGTCAGACTTGACCTTTATTGACTTTCAAAAATATTAATGTTGCACAATTATATTTTCGGAGCTATTTAAGTTGCAAGAGTTAGTGAATCACCCTGTATACGACAATTTTGAAGGCACAATGAATATTCTTATGAGTTATTACAAGTGTACAAAATTTGAAAAAAAATCGGAGTGGGCCCTATCTGACCATCTCCTGGTCAGTAAAATGTATCACATATACCATATATATATATAAATTGAATGTTTTCTCTTGAACAACCTGTAGATGTAATCCCATCTCTCTCCATTGCCTATTGCTTCTTTCCTTCTGGCGTAATTCACCTTAAGCTAACCTTTCGTTTGAAATCCCTACTTCGCACCATCACGAGTAGCAACGGATTTCATGATCGAAGTGTTTGAGATCACGTACGCCAGAAGAACACACGCACTCATACATTTTCCCATTTCTTCATACCATAAAAACAGGAAACATTTCTTACAGCTTTATCTATCAGAAAAAAATCTTTATTTATTCTACAAATATGTATTTAAACTTTTAGGAAGAACGTTTTCACCTTATTTTAGAAATATCATTTACGCTTGTTGATAAGAAAAACATCTTTACCTTTTACTAGTAATATGTATTTAACCTTATAAGAAGAACGTTTTTACCTTATTCTATAAATATCTGTTTAAATCTATTTAGATGAAAAACACCTTTATTCTATGCTAGAAATACCTATTTAAATTTGACTACAAGAAGAATGTCTTTACTTTATTCTACTAATATTAACGTACATATTCAATAATGATTGTTCTGGAATATTGATATTTTAACTGTTTTTGTCTTTAAACTTAGTCACACTTGTACTAATAAATTTTCCCTAATCCAATAATAAATATTTGGTCTTAAGACTCTGACATCGTACTATTTCTCCTTTTCCACTTTTTTCAAAACTATTTTCTTTAAATTAGAGTAAAAGATGTTTCAAGATCTGTTCAATCGATTTTGTTAAAATTATACAGCGTATGTTTTTTATAATATTATCTAAGACATACTTAGGATTATTTAAGTGGGCACCATGTTCAAAAGTATTATTTTTTTTTTCTTTTAATAGAAAAATTATTATTTTAATTATTATTTGGCATTAGGAACTCCAAAGTTCATTGCCGCAAATACTAAATCCCACCAGTATTCTCGTCTCTGAGCGCAATCCTTCCATTCGCGGTCTTCGTATCATATTTCTTTAAGATCCCTCCTAACATTGTCCTGCAATTTATGTATCCGTCTACCTAGTGGTCTTTTTCCGGTCGGTATACCGACCAATATTTTATGTGCTATTCGATTCTCTCCATGCACGCCACGTAACCATATATTTGGTTTTTTTCACGTTTATTTATAGCCTTAGATCTTTTGTACTATCTATTACTATATTTTCACGTTATTTTTTAACGATTCTTTATTGTTCCTTAGAAAAGCAATATCGTTTAGTAGAAGAATATACAATCAATTCTCAGCGAGAATTATAGGTAATTTTTATTGGTGTGATACATTGATATGAGTTGTAAGTTCC